TATTTAATTTGTGTCTGTAGACAAAAATGTTGCTTAAGTAGTAACTTATTTACATCAAAATCAAAGATTGTAAGTTATTGTGAAAAATGTTTGGAAAATGCATTCTATGAGCGTTTGATTTGGAAATAAAAATTAGGTTCCAAACGAAATCTGTTAACTCTAAAATCGAATTAATTCGTTATCACAGTGAGATAATCTTAATTACTGAACCTATTTAGTCTAAATCACATCAAAACTGTTGGTACTCACACGTGGCGATTAAATTAGCTGTAAAGTGTTCTAAGTAAAAATCAGAGCCAAATTTGCATCGGTTTGACAGAATTGAATAACACCTAATTGGTTTTAACTCCTGTTAAGTAATATTAGTTGGAAGTGGCATGTTTTAATAGTTTTATGCTGTAACAACAATCAGATTATACTTCCAATCAGATTTTATTTTTACTAGTATAAAAGACTACAAAAATCACTTTTAATCATAATTTAAAAACTTACCAAGTAAAGATTTGAAAAAAAAGATATTATTATTCTACTGTTGCATAATTTTATAAAACTAAAGAGGCTTACAACTTATATCTCGAAACTTTTGAGGATTTGAATATTTTATGACGTAATTTTGCCTAGTCCACAAAGTATGACAACCGCAGAATATTAAGGCACCTAAGTGTCGTTTGGAATTCTGATCGTAACTTCGGCAAACGACAGAGATGAAACTACGTGCATAACAAATTTTATTTGAATTTATTTTTGCACGTGACATTACACCGTAAATAAAAACAAATATGTTCTTATTTGAAATTTAGAATAGCACGTGCATTGTTTGATTTTCTAAAGTTTTAACAATCATATTTAGTTGCTTTATTTTTTTACATAATGAATATGTTGCTTCATGAATTTTAATATAGGCAATTATCCAACTCGTAGGTGTGCAACATTTGTTTGTTCGAAAAATGTCATCAAGACATAATCAATCAGTAAAGTACTTCAAGATTTGACAGAAATTATACAGAATTGGCGTCTTTACACTAATTTGCCGAACATAAGCTTTGATTATTGGTAGTTATGATACCATGTTTGTGTTATTTTTAAGTAAACTTGTAGTAACATTTTGTGTAAGTAAAGTATTCCGATTCAATATAAGAACATCCATCGTATACACATACTTATCAACGAAACCAACCCAAAAGGATACTTGCTGTTGACCATATCATGATTTATGGCAAATCCATGTTTTATGTACCTAGAAAAGACAAATAATTGTTGACTTAAAACGTTCTGGAACGACCATAGTCTTATCTTTTATTTAAGTAAAACATTGGCTACGGTTGGTCCATATAAAATGGAGGTTCAACTTTATATCCAAAATACAAGCTGGTATAATAAAGGTTGGAGTTTTGATCCCCAAGGTTCAAATTGATACTATGCCTAGAAGTTATGATATTATCACTCAGATACAATCCATTGGCGTGATTTGGACCCGGGATTTCGGGGCCCGAAGTCCCGCGCTCTACCACTGGACCCGCTCGCTCCTTATTACCATTTAGCTGACTGAATGTGTTGAAATGCTGAAATGCGGGCTGGAGCCTAGTTTTCTATGATTCGGAAGTAGGGTATGAAAAAGAAAACAGCGGTATTAAACTAATATCTACACTGAAAATCATATTTTATTATTAAATATTATAATTTGGTAAAAGTCCATATGGCAAGGCTTCTTGAAATAATTAATGTATAGTACACTTCAAGATGTTGCTTGATTATTATTACTTAGAATAATTTAAGTTACAAAAACACTAGGGTGAGAAAACCATTAAATTAAACAAATCTAAAGACAACTCCCCTATGACAATGAGTGAAAGGAGAAGAAAGTAAAAAAACTGCGTGTTATAAACATGGGTGTTGGATTATGCATGGACCATGAATACAGATGACCCATGTCATTCGGGAGTATTTTGTAAGCTGCAAAGGGAACCCCCAAGCTATCTTATAACACCTTTCAAATAAATCCACCCTCAAAGTAATATTGTGAGTTTGGACAAGGGATTTCAACCGCTCTCGGGGAATCTTACCTAGAAGAAGAGAAAATATCAGTTTCAAAGACATTAGTTTAGTTGAATACATGGTGTTGGAGGTATTTTAAAACAGTTGTTTGTTTACGCTGGTTGTCTTTATTTTGTTGTTGCACAGTAGACGTGTAGTAATGTATGATTGACGAGTTTGGTAATTAGACAGGCGGTTTCAATACTTGGACGGATAAAAATAGCCTTCAACGCTAAATAAGATCGTGTAGGCACAAGAAAGTAGCCCAATATTAACCAATGAATATATATATTATATACATATATTATTAGTAGTAACCAATGAATATATATATTTTTATGAAACGGATTTGTTTCAATCAGTTACCAAAGTTTCTTAAGCAATCCTATGGAATTTTTTAAATGTTCTTTCATGTGTTTCCACATAATAATGCATGACAAAATAATAAATTATGTTGATTTTGTTCTGGAAACAAATCTTTCAAACTTATGCTCACAGGGTATATTTATTTTTTTATCACTATAGCACAGTAATTGTTTTATTACGACCTATGATTTAAATAAAAACCATATCACTATTTGGATATTTGATAAAAAAAACTAGATGGGATACAGTAAAGATAACTTCTTCTTTATGGTCCATAATTAGGAAATGCTAGCAGTATGACCTGTACCTATTTCGCTAAAATGTCTGGCAATTTCTTTTTATCGTTGTAATTAGACATAAAACTACCTCGTGGTAGATTATATCACCAAATGACTTTAGTCTTGAAACCCCTTAACTTAAGGAAAATGACCCCTTACATTTGTAGTTTAACGATTTACAGTACATTACAAGTAATGTATATAATTAATTAAACTAAAACAGTAGAAAACACGATTGTGCACAAAGAGATCATAATCTATCCAAGTTCTGAAAGAGCCTTTTTTTGCAGAATAAATATAACCATCAGAGCCCAGATGTCGGAACTATAATTTTCCTTAGTATTTAACATTTTAGGTAACATAAAAAATAATTTATTAATAAGAACCAATTAGAATTATAACAATTTTCGTGATTCACCAGTAACTGATAAGTTTTTGTTAAACTGTGTTGAAATGCCAAATACACGTGTTATGGAGACTATCATATTTATTTTTACAGTCACAAACAACTTTACATAGTTGTACTCTTACTGACACCATGCCTTCTAGATTAGTAAAACCAAAAATGTTGGTTGTATTGATTAATGAGGGTGTTTATTCATAAAAAGCATACATCAAAAGTTATATAGTGTTTTGCAGCGTATTTTAAATATGTTAGCCTAATCTCTCGCCAAATACTTGACTGTTTGGTGTTCAGTCTAGTCCCCAAACGAAATTAGGATACAAAAGTAAACATTTGCGATCGCATAGTTCCTCAACCTCCTGCAACCTCTAGACAACTAATTGTAAGCAGTTTCTGTGAATTTTGTCTAAGGGTATATTTAACAAATTTTAAATCAAAATTGACTACAGTTCACGATATGTTATACAATATTCGTATTGGATTAAATCCCCACAATTTGTTTGTGAGAATATAAGCTAGTTCAAATCCAGACTATTTATGTTCTTGGTGTACTGTTACTAATCAATAGCTTTAAAAATATTTGATATTATCTATAACAATTGGTTGGACTAAACAATAGTGTACTAAAACTAGTGTAGCTTTAGTGTGCTACATCTATAAATAAAGCTAACTAGGAACGCAATTTTATATAAAATTGTATACTGTACACATATCACAACATGTTTAAATGAAATCTCTTGATGATAAATTTCCCCGAAAAATACCAGTTTTCCATAAAACCTCTCCTAAGGGCACACACCTTAATTAAAGTCTCGTATTGAATCACATATAAAAAGTTGAGTGCGTCAGATGTTACATTTATTTTAGTTTATAATTGTTGACTTTCTTTCCTTATATTGATACTTATCATGGATGTTCAGTATTTAAATCTTAATAAAATTACTAATTTCGATTCTGCCACACAGTTTTTTGTAAATATATGTAGTATTGAGCCTCACCTCTATAATCCATAGTAGGTGTCTAACTGATCTTTTTTAATACGGACTTACATTATTATCTTCTGTATTTGCATACGGTTGCAAAGCACGAGCGGAATCACTAGTATGCTATGAAATAGCGTCTTATTTATTTCTAATATCTTACATTTTCAGGGTTAGTAAATAACTGTAATGTTGATCTGATTAATTAGTAAACAAATTATGATATTCTTGGTAAACTTCAACCTTAGAAGTATACCAACGGTGGTGTTTAACTTATATAGTTTGAGAATATTATATAGTTTATTGCAGCCTTAACTTGTGATCCTTATGGGAAAAAACCTGTACTAAACGTAGGTTTGATATTAATTTGATTCTAAAAAGAAGTTCAGAATTTCAACATTTTTATTCTATCAATCATTATAACAACACCGTTGTTATTATATCTGGGATTATATTCTAGTTTTAAGATGTTATACAAAGATAAAGAATAGAAGATAATTCTGTAATCTGCTTCAAACTCATAAATATATTGCCAAAACAACCAGCACTGCCAAGACACTGTGTTTTCATTATATTCGTGTAAATTGTCCCTAGAACCACTGAAAGCAACATTGATAACACATTCTGCAAAAACAAACCCCTTCGTATACCTTTATTGCGATTATCTAAAAACAAATATTAAATTATTGGCAATACTTCACAGCAATACTGTCTTAGCTAAGTTAAAAACTTAAGTTACACCCATCGCCCCAGAATTTCAACGAATAAACTTAGGCACAAGAATGTAATCCGACAGTTGTGCTTGGAAGGTAAATAATTACAAAATGTTTGTGCGAGCGCGCGTGTGCACGGGCGGGTGGGGCAATGACGTCATCGGTAGTACTCCTGGAACCCCCTTCCACCCCCTACACAGTCCAGCTTTAGTATCTCTCGCGCTAACGGCTAGACAACGTGCCGGGTGTTGTAGTGAAGGATACATTGACATCATCTCCGTCAGCCATGTGTTGAAGAGCCGAATAGCAAGAGGAGACAAACAGGTAAATCACCGTTCCTTGCAGTAGAGTAGTGGTGAACGTGTAAGGGAGCAGAAATGCCGGGAACGATCGCCGGGTGTTTTGGTTTGGAGGGTGTGATATTTTGTAAGTGTCCCGAATTCTTGTATATTTTTGTGATTATAGGTGCAATACGTTATAATTTTTAGCTAAGATGGGTTTTGTAAATACAAATTACACATTACGTTAATTAAAGTTATATTTATTTATAAGGAATAAGCCTCCATTAAATTATACTTTATAAGATACATAAATGTTTAAAACGGATAACTTGGTAGATTTTTTTTATTTATTTAATCAAAACTCATCAGTTACGCAATAAAAACATATACAAGCTACAATGGGTGATTTCTATATTGTAAAAGTACTAGACCTACCCTATATCAGCAATGAAAAAATAAAAATTTCAAATTCCATATGATCAGTTACATATCGTTAACTAAATAACAATATGAATATGGCAATTAAAAATGAATGTAGGCCTAACGTGTTTAACGTCATACGCTATTCTAAGTATTTTTCATTAAAAAAAATACTTGTGTTATAAATTATCGTTAATAGAATTTGTCTTGTTTTTTATGTTTTATGGTATCTTGGGCCCTTTATATTTTGGAAAATACATAATTTTAAGTTAACATAAACAGGATAGTAGTGCCTATATTTACCAAAGCGTAACAAATGTATTCATACACCGAAAAACACCAATATAAGAAATATATTACAAATATAATTGACATAACAAAATAGCTCATAAGTAATCAAGAACAAGTTTTGAATCAAAACTAAAAAATATACTACAAATGTTTGTAATTGATGAATGACAGATCTTTCTTGCTAAAAATGTACATACATATGCATATAAATATATAAATAAATATATAAATTTATAATAAAAATGCACGTCAATCCATACAACCATAAAATATTCATAAAAGCCCCTTTAAAAAAAGTTAAATAATAAATCGTTTAAATTGCCAATGCAAAAAAAAATTGTGCACTTGTTGGTATTTTTATTAGTTCACGTATACAAGCTGTACAACAAGAGTAGCAAATATAAAAAGTATCAATATAGTTTTTATTATCAGCTTAGTAAAAATAGCATAGCAAAATAAACTAATGATTAAAATGTTCATTGGAGTTGGTACGGTTATACGAAAATCTATTAAATAATACACTTTATAAACATATGCGATTTATTTACCAATTTAATATAATTTGGAGTAATCCCTCTTGATTCCAGATATTGGGAGATAATCTGTTGTTTATTGTTTTACTAAATTTGTGTTTATAATACTTGATCGTTGAATACTCGTTCAATATATTTGATTGCTTTTTAAATGTAATTTGCGTAATTAACACTCTATTGACAACCGTAAACATTTTGGAACAAATCGTATACAGTATATTTTAATTATATTTTATATTCCTCGCTGTCCGTGAACGAGGAACATTTGACCCTAGGGATTTCTTGAAAACTTTGAAAATCAACCAGAACTGAAGCCAAAGTTAGTTTACAGTTTATGAAACGGAAGGATATAATTTTTACAGCAATTGACGTGGGCTTATAAATTCGTTGGAAACTTCCAATTTTTCATGGATTGGTTTTGCTAGAATTGATTTCAAAATGTAACAAAAGCATTGGAAATATATGTCATTTAATATTATTTTTTAAGATAGTTCTGCACAACACAGATGACAATATTTTCCAAGGCATTGTAAAATAAGTTGTGGATTTCAGGCAAGACTATTTTAATGAAAATATTCCGAGGAAAATAAGGGTACTTTCCTGTTAAAGGGAACATTCATTATTATCGATGATTTTTTTTCTCGATATATCGGTATTAACAAATTGAAACACACTGTGTCAGCTCCATAAAAATATTGTTCAGTCTCAACAAACATTAATGAAATGAAACTGTTCTAAAAAGTAACAGTTTGAGTTTGATAATAGAAAAGGCATGTTAAAAACGGAATTTTTAAATGTTACAGAAAGTTTGGTTGGTTATGTTAGGTTAGCTGAGAACAGTTTTATTTCTTAGTTCATGGTAATAGACTATTTTAGCCTACACAAGATCAGTTAGTTGTTGTCAATTTGTAATGGATCGGAAAACAAAAATATCGATACATCGAAAAAATCATGGATATATGAATATATGGATATATGGATATGAATGTTCCCTTTAACAGGAAAGTACCAAAATAAGCATCCTCAGTAGTTTTTGTTTAATATTATCAGTGGTAACAATTTACAAAATGAATATTGATCACATCATTCATGTCTTTGTATTCAGTATACCTTCTTTATGACCTACATCCAGGGCCTATTTCGAAAAATTTCTTCCTTTTAACAAAAATGATCATTAATACATATGCACATATACTATATAATATGTCACACTTCTAGATATTTGTATATCTACATCTAGCTATTGAGAAATAGTTTCTAGTAGAGTTCTTTCGTCATCTATCTATAGTTAGTCATCAAATAATGGATTAATAGCTCATAAACGATACTATCTAAACAGTTCATATTAAAATTGAATCCAACATGTAAATAAATCCAACAATTCATTTACAAACAATTCATATAATTTCAAAATTGCATGTTGATATTTTTTTACCAGAAAGCTTCCACACTATACTATTGTTGTGAACAGATTTACAACAACACTCGTGTGTTAATAGTAGCACTTAATGATACATCGAATACGAGTAAAATACATTCTGTTTAACTGTAAGCTTATTGAATTTCAGAACAAAGGATTCTCGTCGTAGTTAATACTGTTTTCATATTGTTTAAGTGTTTATTTGAATACACCTCGATAAATAATGTATTATAGAAAACCTAAACAGCAATTACACTTTTTAACTTTTTTTAATGATACAGTATGTTCTAATATGGCTAGGTGTGAAACGTTTACAAAAATCATTTCATGAGTTTGAACTCAAACAGGTTAGAAACAATTTTAAATTATACTATATATAATAGTATATAATACATTTGTTGCATACTAAATTTACAGAAGAAATTACAAAATTACCAGCTAATAAAGTGTATATAAACAACAACAATGACAATCATATTTAAACACTATAACATTTGAATAGTAATACAACTACAGTATCCAATTGTCAATGCTATAACTATGAAAATATTGCTGCTTAAATTTAATTGTAATGCAATACAATCAGATTTTAGTACATTATTGCAACAACTATCTCATACAAGCTACTACTTCCAACTAGTCACTTGCTTTTATAACAAAATTAAATATAAAAAGAATCGTGGGATAGCTCACTATTTAAAGGTTTAAATTCTATCAATAATTTAATTGTTATTATTTGAATTGATTTATTAATTACAAGTGTAAAATTACTATGACAAAAAGCAGTGCATTAAAGCGATTAGTGGGCGGTGGGGAGCATTCCCCTACTTGTCAATGGGTTTGGAGGTGGCAATTTTGATAATGTGTCTTCTAGGGGGCGCTTTCTAACCCTTCCTCTCAAAATGTTCTGAAAAACACAACTCTCATATTTCCATACGATACCATAACTTAGGCCTACTAGCAGGAATACAATTTACCATATTGGAAAATGAACAGTAACAACAATGATAACCTATTGTTTACCTAAAGAAATGTATATCATGTATACTAGCTGGGTAATAAATGACTATTCTATAAATTACATGTGTAAGTCTTTATATCTTTACAGTGTGTATGGTGTATGTATTTGATATGTAACGTGTCAGCTTAGTCTTTAATCGGTGTGATTTTTTATACTTTTCCTACGCATAAATTAAATGTTTGGGGATGTTTAAAAATGGGTATTATTTTTTATAGTGAAATGAAAATATAATGGTGAGTCGGTGGCTCAGTCGGTAGCATCACGGACTTCGGGCCCAAGGCAGCGATGCCGTGGGTTCGGATCAGGGCTAGAGATGGGTTCGGATCCTGGTCACTGCAGCAAACATTTCATCAGTACAACAATTCACCTTCGAACTGTGTCGGCTCACCCCTCGCTTTGCTGGATACGTTCCATGCACGGGCAGTTAGTCTATGTGGACTGGCAAATGCTAGGTTAAAGAGGCCATCCAACCTCTTTATAAAAAAAGATAAAGTTTCTAAGCACTACCCCTACTAGTTTATCTTATAAGTAATATGATTTTGCACATTGGTTTAAAATATAATATTTTCACTCTAATTTTTCAAATGTATATTTTTATGAACAATTTTATTCCAGAATAATTTAATTGCTCTGTTAAAAATCTGTCCAACAAAGGGTAACTTCTAGAAACAATATATAAATTGCCCATGTATTCTTCCTTGTTTTATAGAATGGATCAAAGGATTTTATTTAATTTAGAAAACACTTTGGTTTGATAAAAGCTAATTTTATACCCGTGTCAGAAGCGTTTGCACATATCGTTTTACAAAGCGTTGGTCAAAGAACATGAAAATGTAATTTTTTAGTTCCTAAAACCATCACGGAAAGTTAATTATCTTCTATTACCTGTAACCAGTTTTATTATTTATTACTGGCTTACCTTTATATAGTATATTGAGGTATATAAAGGTGAAGCTTTGCAAACATTTTTTTTTATTTTATCATGCTTTATATTTATTTACCTTCAAAGTATAATACACACCAATGAGTTAGGGTAGCTATTACTAAAAATATTCAAAAAACCCTTTTAGGAGTTATGATTAACACCATACTCATACACATTACATGAAAAGTTACGATTCTAAAGCAAAGAAAATTAAAGCACTCCTTTTTCCTGTATTGTATGTGTATCGGTTAACTAAAATAGCAATGATTAAATGTATGACGATTCAATCATAAAACAATGTCTAATATACGACCCTTTTTAATTAATGTGGGTCATTTAATTTTAAAATGTAATATCATACAAAAGTTAGACATACACTTTATAACCGATCTTCATGTAGACTCAACATAATATGATCAATGATATGTGCTAG